GGCCTCTCCACCGCCTTATCCTGCGTGGCTGTGGCCTCTGTGTCAGTTCTGCTCATTGTTCTCCCCGTGTGCTTTCATGTCATTAGAAGATCGTGGATATTTTAATTTAAGTAAATTGCCTGATGGGGGCCGAGGCTGGGGCTCAGTGGTAGAGCGCTCGCCTAGCATGTGCGAGGCCCTGAGTTCGATCCTTTCCCAGGGAGGAGGTTCCTGGGCTTATTTTCAGGGCACCACACRGAAATAAATAAATWAATTAATTAAAAGGTATTGTGTCCAATTATAACTAAAAAATAAAATATTTAAAAAATAAATTGCCTGTTAACTACAATTTTTACCTGTGGGATGATCACCTTCTGTACTTGTATATATTTATGATGCACAACACAATTTCTTGCTATATATACATTGTAAGATGGTTAAATCAATCTAATTAGTGTATATATACATATATATATATATGTATATATACACCCACACACATATATATTACCTCAGACACTTACTTTTTGATGGTGGGAACATTTAAGATCTATTCTCTTAGCAATTCTCAAGTGTTCACTCTGTTATTATTATTAATACTATTAATTTTTGCTGTACCGGGGTACATTATTTTTAACTATAGCCATCATGTTGTACAACAGATCTCCTGGACTTATTCATCCTAATTGAAACCAGAATTTTTGTCTGGTGATTTTTTTTTATTGAAAGTGTAGAGTTTTTTGCTTTTTTAAAAAGAATATTCTTTACCCTTGTATGGTAAGTAGGAGGATTTCATTCTAAGTTGCTGGAGTGTTCTTGTATGGCCAGGAGATGATGGGATTATTTAGATACTGTACTCATTTTCTATTGCTGCCTATCAGCTTGCCACAAAGGTAGAAGCTTGAACTAACCCACTTATTATTGCACCGTTCCCCTGGGTCAGAAATGGGGGCCTCGCTTACAAGTGTCCCATGTTCAGATCCTCACAGGGCTGCAGTCAAGGTGGGCAGGGCTGTGTTCCCCTCTGCAAGCTTAACTGCTTGTCACAGGCCCCTCCATTGTGCCTGTCATTGCATGGCAGCTTGATTTCTCAAGTAGGAACATCTCCTACTCTGCAGAGAATAAGGCAAATCCATAACAGTGTTACATCTCTCAGGGTTTGAGCTCCTAATTGTCGTATTGAAAATTCAAAGTGCATTTATATGTTTGATAATTTGATATACATGATTATGCCAAGTGATGGTTTATCATGATTGTTTTCTCATGGAGAAATAAATAACATATTAAGTACATTTTTTTTTTTTTTTTACCTGTGGAAGGCACACCTTCTGTAATTCTCATATAAATACATCTGGCCTAGCCACAGCCCTCCCTCAGGTTTTCTACCAGTGAACCCCTCAGGCGCCCTTTAATCTGTATTTGGGGACCTCAGGGCTCTACTTACTTTTCAAGACTAGACTTCAGAGTGAGAGAATCTCATTGATTCTTCCTAACTTGCTGTTYTAAAGATGAGCTCACCAACGATTCTCGCTTTAAGGGCTTAACTGCTGATCACCGTAGCAAAATATTCAGTCATAAATAAAAACCTCAGGCATGAAGATGCTGCTGAGGCTTAAGAAATGCATAACATGGCATCCAGCATTGTCACCAACTGCAACGTGTCTCTCCTTGAGGGCCTTGTCCAGGGTCCCCTGTGTCCCTGGAGGATGGAGCTCACTAAGCATGACAGCTTCAGAGGTCAACAGGCAGATGAGGCTCCGGCTTCTGGGAGAGACCTTTCTAGCCTCTGTCCCTGAAGAGCATGGCTTGGCCAATCAGTGTGCAGGACGCGTGGCTATTCAAGGGCCCTCTCGGGTGGGCAGAGTGGTTTTAGGACCTCTGGTCCGAGCAGTCCCACTTTGAAGGGCTGCCACTCAGGTGACTTTTGCAGAGTGTTACAGAAAGTCTCATGGGTACGTCTTTTCAGAGATGGCTCAGGGGGACCGGGGCTGAAGAGTCGGGGCCACTGTCAGACATGGACGAGGAGGTAGAAAGGTTTGGTTTGTGTCAGGGAACAGTTTGATCTGAGGCAGGGGAGGGTCATGAATGGCCATGGTGACTCCACAGAGTTAGAAGCACTGACCATGGCACGTGGTGAGCCGCCTCCTGAGAACAGATTTCTCTYCTCCCATCCTGACCCTGTGGGGACCCTGGGTGAAGGGGGCTGGGTGAGTGCTGGTGAGAGATCTCAGTCTGCAGTGTTGAGACTCCTGAAGCACGTTTGTCTCCAAGGATGCCACACTTCCAGATGTCAGGGACACAGCCCACAGGTCTGGGGATGAGGAAGGAGCTCAGGGAAAGTTGGGCAATCTTGTCCTTTCCCAGGGAGGAGGTTCCTGGGCTCATTCTCAGGGCGGGTCCCCAGGTGCTCCCAGCCCAGTCTGGTTTCACCTGAGTTCCTCTGGGTGCTGCGGAGGCAGCCAGCTTTGGACCCTCTGTCCTGGGTCTTCTGTCGGGGATCCCAGGTTTTCCTTTCCCTCGGAGAAGCCGGAGCCGCAGAGCGCCATTCCCAGGGAAGGAGCGCCCTCTAGTGCTGGGGAGAGGGAAGGCTGGAGGAGAAGGAGCTGCCAGCCCATGAGGAGCCAGCGGACTGCACCCTGACCCGCTGGGCGAGGGCAGCGCAGGGTTTTGTAGGTATGGCTGAGTCTGAGTGTTTCCTCTTCAGAGTCCCCCTCCCCAAGAAGGCCCTGGAMTCCATCAGGTTAAAATGTGAACATGGTGGAGAAAGTTCCCCTGACCCCCGTCTTGGACTCTTCTCTTCTCCATATTTCTAGGTGACTCTGGTACTAGCCCTCCTTGACCTTTCTCGCCAAGGCTGTGGGTCTTGGGGTTTCCTCCACACAATTCCTTCCCTCTCTGCCCAATCCCTGTTACGTGTCACTTGTCTCCTGCTCCGATATTTATTTATTTAAGTATAGAGATGGATGGCCACGTGAGCCAGGGCGCCCACCTACCCTGCCAGCTCCGGGTCTGCAGCTCCAGGTGCCAGTGGGAGTCACCACAGTCCTGTCCCCGGGGAGATGGAGGCTGGATTCAGGCCTCAAACTTCAGTTGTATGATGGGAGGGGTGTGGGGCAGGGTTTGTGACATTAACATTCATGGTGGGGGAAGCACCATTAAGTGACCGTCATCCAAACCTCTCGTTGATCAGGACTGGCAGTGGCTTCTAGGACTTTTACCAGGGGCCAACTCCTTTTCTTGGAGGCCAGCTCCAGGGTTTCTGCCTTGGGAAAGTTAATCCTTGTGTCCTGTTTGGATAAGGAAGAAAGCTGAACACTGTCCCAGACACTTCTTTGGTGACTGCTTCTTTTGCGAGGGGGTCATTTTGTCTTTGGTGCACAGTTTTCCTAAATGAATGAAATCCTGGTGTTATTTGCTATGAGCTTGCTTGTCCTGATCCAGGAAGCTCCTATGTCTTCAACCCTTAAGCTGTGGTTCTAAGAATTTTCCATCGGGAGACTGAAGTATTAAATGAAGGTGATGATTTATCCCATCATCTGTCCCATCTAACCCTCCTTCTGTAGTTTCTCGGTTGTTGGTGTTTTGTTTGATAGCTTGATGTTTCATGTTGACTGAACATGAGTACGCTATTCACTGCTGTCTGAAAGAGCAGAAAACATTCCTGGAGCTGGTGGTGGTGGGGACCGTAGTGATTCCGTGGTTTGTCTTCTGGGGCCACTTGAAGAATCTCCGCCATCAGAAACTCAGGCAGGTTGTGGTTTCAGGCAGAGGTTCTGGGTCAGACAGATCTGAGTAGCAGAGGTTGGTTCTGGGTCGTTGGGTGTGTTAGTCAGCTCTTCAGCACTTGTGACAAAATACCTGAGAAAAATAACCTAAAGGAGGAAAGATTTATTTTGGCTCATGGACTCAGTCCAGGGTCAGCTGATTCCATTGCTCTGGGCCTTGGGTGAGCATCATGGTTAGACACTCCCATGATCATGAGATCAGAGCTCTCGTGATCCGACACTTCTCTAAAGCCCCACTTTGAACATTGCTGCACTGGGGATTAAGTTTTCAACATGTGAGGCTTTGGGGGATTTTACAAATCCAAATCACAACATTGGGGAACTTCAAGCAAATGATTTAAACTGCTTGAGGCTCTTTCCTGATGGTAGGTGTGGACTGAATGAAATGGTCCATGGAATCTTCAGAAAATACCTGGACTACAGAAGGTGAGCAGTAACTGCCGTCATTATTCTCATTTTCTAATGTTAAGATTCGGATCTATACTGTTCCCTAGAGGGCCCCATGTTGAAGGCTTAGTCCCCAGTGTAGCAGTGTTCTGTTGGGGCTTTGGGGTCATSAGGTGATTGGGTCTCGAGGGCTCTGATCTTATCAATAGATTCATTCATGGATGGGGTCATAGTTGAATGGACAATTGGGCAATGGCAGAAACTATGGGGGGGGGAACCTAGTGAAAGGGAGGGGTCCTGGGGCAGGCCTTTGGAGACCGTCTCCTGAGGTTCACTGAGCATGGGTCAGGGTTCTTTGTAAAGTGAAGAACCGAATCGATGACTTTACACTCCTCTGACTCTCCAGCAGGACACTGTCTGAAGACCAAACCTTGTCATTTGGTCCATCTGAACCTCAGTGTTCTTATCTGCAAAAATGGTGTTCAGGTTTACCTTGGAGGGATTTTGTAAGGCACAGATGTAAAATTAAAGCACTACCTGTGAAGATAGCCTCGCAGGGTTGATTTGTAATCAAGAAATGTGAGAACACTAATGCCTATGTCTAGCCACGACTCTCCCCACCCGTTAGCTCACATTTATTGAGCACCTGGTGTGTGCAGAGGACCTTGAGAAGCCTGAGCCAGGTGCTGGCCCTCAGGAGGCCCTCAGGAAGCAGATACGGGCACCAGTGGTATGTGAGTGCTCTATCTAAGGAGGGAGCATGTCATCTTCACTGGCAGTGTCTCTCCAGGGTCACTGTCCTCCCAGGCCACCACCTGCACTCTGTCGTTGACCTGAGGTCACGTGAGGATGCTGCCCCTGCTTCTCGTCCTCTTTGCTCTGAGTCCCCAGGCCTGGGGTAAGTTTTCTTCCCTTGTATCAGAAGTACTTTTGGTGAGTGACAAATGACATCTTTACATTGCATAACAGGATTGCCCCTCAAAGCTCCTCCTTTGCTAGAGGGTKGTGTAGCATTTCAGTTTGGAGCACTGTTCTGGGATTGACAGATCCCTGTTCCAATACTTTTCCTGTCATTTGCTATAATCTTCAACAAGTTAACCAGAATCTTTGCATTTTATTTGCTTCCATGATGGAAGAATAATATTGCTAATTTCTTAAAGTTGTTTGAGGATCAGATACAAAGTGTGAGACAGTTAGCGTAATGCTCAAGTAATAAGCCTCACTGAGCCTCCGTTTCCCACCTGTGGAGGGAGTCGGTATTTGCCTTGCTCATCTCATGACGTTGTTCTCAGCGATTCTGATGGCGGATTTGAGGGGCCTTTGTCATCACAGAGCTGGCCTGTGGGAGGTGGCCTTGGGGACAGTTGCCGGTTGTCATCGCTCCCCTGGCTTCTGGTGTTGACCAGTACCAGATGAGGGATGGGGGATGAGGACAAGTTGGCACTGGCTAATCCTCAGTGGGACTTGTGTTTTGAGACCAGACCCATGACCCTGTTTTAAGAAATCAGTATGATGCCAATAGGTGCCTAATGGAAGTATGAAGTGTTGACTCAAAATAATGCCCCCCCCCCCGATGCATGAGCAGGTATGCAGGTGGTCCAGGAAGGCAGCCCTGCTCTGATAAGGCAGCAGGAAAGACTTCGGGATGGAGGGGGATTGGAGCAGGGACGGTGGATAAAGTCCTCCTTGGAGCCCATGTGGGAGGCAGGGGCAGGCTGAGGCCAGAGATGTCGGTGGTTCTCCTTCGTTGCTTCCTACAAGATGTTCTGGGCCTTGGGAGGCTGCGAGACCGTGGGCTGTGGGGTGGGGATGTCTGGAAGGTGCCCTGGGCAAGCTGGTCAGGTGCTCTCTGAGGACCAACGCAGGCACCTCTGCAGGGAATGGCGCACAGTCCTCCTGGGATGAGACCCTAGACCGAAGAATCTCAGAGAAGCTTCTGGATCTGTATATCAGCATCTCACAGCTCATTGGCAGGAGTCACAGCGGTGAGATTGTTGGGGGTTGCCCGGGGTTTCTCAGGACTTGACAGTCTGGGCTGGGAGTGGGTAAGGGGGGCAGAGTCCAAGGGGCTCCCCTGTCAGTGACTTCCAGGGACTGTCCYGAGTTCATAAGTAAAGGTGGGTCCCTTGGTCTGAGGATAGGAAAAGAAGAGAAAACCAGGAGAAGAAGGAGGAGAGACACCCAGGTAGAAAGGACACATCCCTCACTCCCCAGCTCCCAGGGTGAGAGCTCCTGGGGCTCTCACGATGGGGAGGAGAAAGGGAACCTTSTGGGGGCGGCCCAGTCCTGTGTGGGTGTCTTGCAGCCCTGCCCCTGGACAGTTTCCATCTGGAAAGAGTCTTCTTCCTGTGTGCTTGGAGCCSCTAGGTGAGGAGGCTCAGAACTTCCCCCAGAGAGTCACTAATCTGGGTGAACACAGGCAGAGATCAGGGCGGAGGGAAACACACCCTAACCATCCATGCTAAGGATGGCGAAGGCGGCTCAGAACCCCAGGGCTCTGTGTGGGGTGTTGGCTAGGGATGTTTTCAGGAGGGGCGATCCTACGGGCCAGGGAGGAGGTGAAGCTGGGCTTGTCCTCCAGGTACGTGTGGGGGAGACTGTCTGGGGACTAACCTGCCTCCCCAGGCTGAGGGAGAGGCATCTCTGGGAGGTCGCTGAGCCCAGATGGGGCTATGGAGATAGGGAGGGGCTGCAGGTGGTAAAGGTCCCCCCCCAGGGCTCCTTTCCTTGCAGGCAGGCTGGGCTGGGTCTGCTGCACGCYATCTGGTGTCTCCCCTGCAGGCTTTCCCACCATAGTCTCCCGCAAGGAGTGGGGGGCTAGACCTCTCACCTGCAGGGCCCCCCTGAGCCCACCCGTGCCCTTCCTCATCACGGAGCAGCTCACCGGGATGGAGTGCCCGGAGCAGACCCTCTGCAGYGAGATGCTGCGGGGCCTACGGTTCCATTCTGTCCACACCAAAGGCTGGTGCGACGTAGCCTTCAAGTAAGCGGCCAGTCGGGTCCCCAAGCCCCTGTCCAAAGATGTGTCCCATCCCCCTCCTCTCCTTCTCCCGTATTCTGGGCCCCATTTATGTTACTTTCATAATGAATTAAAGAAATGTTAAAAAGGAGATCAAACAAAATCCACAGCCCTCCCGAGATCACTAGGAGGGCAACTCTGAGCCATTTCCTTGGGTGGACTTTGACCTTGGGAAGTCCTGAGAAGAGGTGAGGAAGGTTGTGTGATAGTTATAGATGCCCCCGGGAGCTCACCAAACATCACAGTTGGCAAAGGTCTTCACAGGTATCCCCAGGTAGGCCCTCCCAGCTACTTGAAAGAGTGGGTGCAGGAAACAGCACCTCCTTATTTCCAGGTGAGAATGCTGTGAATTTGTTCAGAGTGACACAGGAAGGGAGCATGTACCCAGGATAGCATCTAGATTGCCTGTTAGTCCCGTCCTGTCCCCTCTAATCCCCCCACAGGGAGTCCCTGTGTGGTGAACTCCTACTCATTACCTTGAAGGGCCACCCCAGGGTCACGTAGGGAGGGTGGGCATGAGGAATGGTGGGGAGGAGGGCCCCATGCTAAAGTGAGTACACACTTACACACCACTGGGTCTGTAGATAGGGCAACCTCTACAGGGATCAACACGGAGCTTCCTCAAGAGACTAGGGTGGAACCACCACGGGACCCAGCTACCACCCCTCAGTATTCATCCTAAAGAATTAAAGTCAGTATGATATAGCAATCCATGCACACCCATGTTTACAGCAGCACAATTCACCATCGCCAAACTATGGAGCCAGTCTAGGTGGCCATTAACAAGAAAATGTGGGACATATACACAGTGCAGTTTTATTCAACCTGGAGGAAAGAAATGATATCATTTGCGGGAAAATAGATAGAACTTGAGAGCATTAAGTAAAGTAAGCCAAACTCAGAAAGTCTGTTTTCTCTTATATTGGGAGCTAAAGAGGAAAAAAAAAAAAAAAGAAAACAAAAGTGGAGGGCGATCTCATGAAATTAGAAGTGAGACCAGAGAGGAAGGGAATGGGGTGGGGAGAGGAAGGACTGGGGAATGAAACTGACCCACAGTGTCTCATGTGCGTGCATGAATACRTCACAGTGCATCTCGCTACCATGTGTCATTATAATGCACCAACTTAACAAAAAGAAGAACGTGAGGCTGAAAGATCTTTGCTCCGTGTATGGAGTTATCCACTCTAAGGATGATATTGAGGCCAGGCACCTTTTCTCACTCAGTACAACCACTGTGGCCATCCGTGGAGATCAGAAGGCTAGGAATAGAATCACCGTATGGTTCCATTTAGCTTTATTTATCTAGAAAGCGAGAGTTGGARTGGGGTTTTGTCTTACAGAATCCCAAAGACAAACAGAAATGATGTCTGAATTATCCAACTTGGAAAGGATAATCCACACTTGCTGATTTGTTTATTTTGAAACACTAATAAGTAAGAACAGTTGGAGATCTTGGTTGTAGCCGTGGCCATCCCTAGGATGGYGGGGCATCCCAGCTCACCCTCTGGGGATGCTGTTTTGACTGTGATAACCGCAGTGCCTCTCCTGTCCCYGCTTCTCGTACCTACACTGCCCTGCCATGGTCACTGTGGCTTTGCCTACTTAAGCCACAGCATGTGTAAGCGATTTCAACCACTGCACCTGGAAGTCAGGTTTCTGCAGTGACCACTTAACAGTATCCACTTCTTTCAGTGCAGCTGACTGTAGCCCTGAGGGGCTGTTCACATTGGACTAACCTCAGGCTTCTGCAGGGGATTTGGTGGACGTGTTGGGCTCCCAATCCGGTGCTCATTGTGAGGTGGGAAGTCAGTTTGACTGAATACAGGGTCTTTGCTTGACTTTGGGGAAGTGCATGTCCCTTCCGTGTTCAGTTAGCTTTGGAAACTCAGGAGGTAGTGAAAGCTCAATATGGCAAGAGTTGTGAGAATATCGATTCTGAAGACTGGAACGAGGAGTATATCTATAAAGAGGCAGAAATGAATGAACAGGGAGAATAAAAATGAACACACCTTGGATTTCAAAGTGAAGTGAAAAAAAAAAAGAGAACATTCTAAAAAAGTTTCTATGATAAAGAAGAGCTTAAAGGAATTTCTAAGGAGAAACCAAAGAAAAAGGCACTTTAAAGGAACTCCTGAGGGTCGGGTCATTGTTTGAAAGGATGTTCAAGTGCGTGGTCCCGTAACTTAAAAACACGATTAATGAATTCTCAAGCCCTTGAAAATATTGAACAAAATGTCCCTGAAAGTCACACATTCAAATTCCACTTTGAAACAAATGCGTATTTTAAAGTGAGATTCCGGAAAGCACAAGTAAGCTAAGTACAAAGTTGAAGTCTATTCCCGTGTCTCTCAGAGGTCTAACATCTGTCCTTCTGTCCCCCTGACTGTTACTGTGTTATTGAAGCACAGTACTTACTTATGAGCATCTAGAATCCCATTTGCCACTGAGGATTAGGGAGGGGTTTTCTGTTACAGAGATTTCCCCTTACACTCATTTCCTTGTTCGGCAGCTTCCTGGTTGGGGACGATGGCCGGGTGTACGAAGGTGTTGGCTGGAATGTCCAGGGTTCGCACACCCAAGGCTACAACAACGTCTCCCTGGGCATTGCCTTCTTTGGCAATAAGATAGGTAATGGCTGATCCCGGTGGTCTCTTTGCCAGAGGGTGGTCTACAGCCTCCTTCATCTCCCAGTCTCAACGCTTTCACCTTTTCAGCCTAAATCATGCCCATCCTCTGATAATCACCCATCTCCTGAGGTTCTTTTCTCCACTGGATTCTACGAACGTCCCCGTCCTGCTGAGGCCACCCTGCACATTGCTGGGGCTCACAGTGATCGCCATCAGTTCTGGGGTCTGAAGTTATCTGACACTGACGCCCCGACATGGGGTATTTCTTCTTCCAGTGTCTTCCACCGTAGATCCTGACCAGAGCTCACGGGAAAGGAAGCCAGAGAGATGCAGTGTGTAGGACCGTAGCCAAGTGCAATCCTGCACAAAACCAAAACGGAGGAGAGCTCAGAGCCGGGGTGGAGTCGGGAGCTAATAGATAATAACTGGCACTAGTTGATAACTGAGGCTAATAATGGTATTTTTCTCAGGGATTTCCAGTGAGAACTGTGAGTTCATGTATGTAGAGAGCTTGCCACATGCTTGGTCATGGCAACTACATAGGAAATATGTCACCTTTTCCCCATGCTGGGGCATCACTGTGGGTCAGTGGGCCTTTTTTGCTTGTATCTTTGACCTCCTTCTGGCCCTGCCACCCACAGATGGAGCAGATAAATAAAGCCTCAGTTGGCATTTGGAAGAGTGTGTCTGAATAGCTCTGACCCTCTGTCCCAGCTATTGGACCAGTTTCCTCTCTGACCATCCACCCGTCACTCGGGCTCAGGTGGTCATCTTATCCTCCCCAGTCCAGCTTGGACTACTGACCGTTCTGTGTCCCATGTCATCCATTTCTAGGCAGCAGACCCAGCCCTGCTGCCTTATCAGCTGCAGAGGGCCTGATCTTCTATGCCATCCAGAAGGGTCACCTGTCACCCAGGTACATTCAGCCACTTCTCTTGAAAGAAGAGACCTGCCTGGCCCCTCAGCACCCAGGGGTGTCCAGTAAAGGTAAGACCCTCACCCTGCCTCAGACTGCTCCTCTTCACCACCCAAACACGCTTGGGAGGGCTCTTTCCTGCTGAGATCTCCTGGGCTTCCTGGATCCGGAACATCTCACACCTATCACCATGCCAATACCTGCAAAATTCTGAGAGGGCGCTGTTTGAGCCAGGGTTGTGTCACTGTGGCCAAAATACCCAGCAAACCCTCTTAGGAGGGGAAAGGTTTATCTTGGGATCATGGTTTCAGAGGTTTGGTCCGTGGTCAGCCAACTCCATTGCTCTGAGACTGAGGTCAGCATCATGGTGGAGGGCAGAGTGCGGGAAAGCTGCTCACTCGTGGTAGCTGTGAAGCAGGGGATGGGGAGAAGGGGCCACAGCAAAAGACGACCCCTTCCAGGGCATGTCCTCAGGGACCCAGCTCCGCGGGGAACACCTCACCTGCCTATACTCACTGCCTGGTTTGTCCATCCCAACCAGGATGGGCTGATAGGTTGCTGCTCTCACAGTCTACCTGGAATACCTCCAATATTCCTGTGTTAACACTGGAGTTTTGGGGGACACTTCATATCCAAACCATAACAGGCACTTTCCTGGACTCTTCTCTATCCCATTAAAATAATATTGCCGTGACTTATTTATAACAGGTTCCATCTTCAAAAATGAGAACTCCTTAACATTTGTAGTTTTCAAATAGATTTTTGAATAATTTCCATATACATGTGATCAGTTCAAAAATGAGCTGATTTCTGCTTATCAGTCTGGTTACATAATATACATGTATTTGTAACGCGTACATAAACATGCAGGTTTAATTTGTTATTTAAAGAAGATGGCCATTCCTCTGTTTGACTGACAGTCTGTTCCCTTTTGCTTATGCGGTTTTTCTGTAGTTATCAGAACCCTGTCCCTTGACTCCGGCAACCTGACCCAGACAATCCATTCCTGAACTTTCCAAACTCCTAGAGTCAAGTTCTTGTTAGGATGTGCCCGTGGGTGCTGGACACTGGGGTGAGACTGAGGTATAACTCCCCCTGTGGTTGTGAGGTTGTTCACAAAGGAGCAAAGGCAAATCCCCACTTTCTTGGTTTTCCGTCTCACTTCAGCTTGCCCCGACATCACCCCACGGTCTGCTTGGGAGGCCAGAGAGACACACTGCCCTCAAATGAGCCTCCCAGCCAAATACGTCATCATCATCCACACTGCCGGGACCAGCTGCAGTGTGTCCATGGACTGCCTGAGCAGCGTCAGAGACATACAGTCCTTCCACATGGACAAGCTAGACTTCTGTGACATCGGCTACCAGTAAGTGGGACCAACGGAAGCATGACCCCTTGCTTCTTCAGGGCTGTGGAAAGGAGGGCTGGGAAGGAGCTGGCGATGCCTGAGCCCTGCCTTTGTGGCAGGACTTCACTTAAGGCATGGCATTTTGAGTTGCAAGACTCTAGACTGAGAGTCATTAGAGCATTGGTAGGGTACTTTTATCTCGTGCACACATTATCCAAGAGTGGTTGGGGAGACCCTGAAAAGAAGGCTCTGGAAGCAGTAGAGATAGAGCAAACTGTGAGGCCCCCAGGGAGGCCATTGAGCGGGTGTGCACTTTCTCTGCAGCCCCTTCTGGTCAGTCAGAGGCCAAGGCCCTGCTCTCCCACCACCTTGGTCTGGCCCCAGCCCACACTGACTCTCTGCGGTATTAGAAGGCTGCTGTGCTCTGCCGTTCGCTCTGTTTATAGATACAGAAATTTTTAACCTCCGTGGGTCGTTTTTGTCTCGTCTCTACAGTAGGGACAATGATACGTTTTCTGTTTGAAGACAGGGAATGAGATTAAAATGTGCTCCTTTGATTCCCTTTATGCCAACTGTAAGATGAAGAAACCTGTTAAACTAATGGAATAGCAGAAGCTACTTGGGARGTGCCTTGGAATTTCATAGCGTGGATTTAGGGTTAGCGTATGAGAAATTTCATTTGTAACTTAATCTCAGCAATTTTTTTTTTAATACCGGGGATGGATCCCAGGGGTGCTTCACCACTGGGTTACATCCACAGCCCTCTTTACTTTTTTTTAATTTTAAGACAGGGTCTCACTAAGTTGTTCAAGGGCCTTGCTAAATTACTGAGGCTGGCCTTGAACTTCTGACTCTCCTGCCTCAGCCTTCCTAGTTGCTGGTATTATAGGCGTGTGCCACCATACCCAGGACAGGTGGCTTTTATAGACCATGATTGAAACCCTGGAAGCTGATTGTTCAGGGTGAATTCATTGAGTGGAAAGAGAGAAAGGGCTAGACCAGGGTCCCAAGGAAGCAGTCCAGGGTCCTAAAGATCACAACTCTTGGTGAAGGGAAGGTGGGGTGGCAGAGAGACCCCGGGGAGCTGCGGAGTGGGGGGGATCAGGATGGTGTGGGCTTGGGGAAGCCTGGGGAAGAGAGTATTTCAAGATCATGGTCAATGGGGTCAATGTGTCAAGGAGGTCACTAGTCCTCTTAGGGGGTCAGATTCAGTGAAGTGGTGAGGACAAAGGCRCATTGAGGTGGACGGTGTCTTTGTCTGGGGCCTCTGTGCACATTGGCACTCGAGACATTCAGACAGTACGTRACGATGGATGAGAGAGTGAATGAATGGTGGAAGGAACGAATGCACAAACTCTGCTCCTGGRGGTGACTGTCTTCATTTCCTTGGCCCAATTCTAGCTTCCTGGTGGGCCAGGATGGTGCCGTGTATGAAGGCGTTGGCTGGAATGTCCAAGGCTCCCACACCTACGGATACAACGACATTGCTCTGGGAATTGCCTTCATAGGCAACTTTGTAGGTAAGGGAGGAAGACGGGCAGAGGGGTTCTGGGAGATGAAGTCCCCTGCGGAATACTCAGGAATACCCTGGGGGCACAGGTGGCAGCGTGGCACTTTCTAAAGTGGTGGAGCCAGTGGAATATTTTAAAGTGGACTTGGTCCAGAATGCATGCCATCAGGAGCCCCTCCCAGACAAAACATTATCCCCAATTCGCCCCTCCCCACCCCCAGCCCCATTTCACTTCATGCCCATGTTCAAGCTAGTGTGGGGCAAGGTAGGAAAACATCGCTTGCAAACTTAGGGGCTGTTATGGCTCAGCTGGCAAATGTGTCCTCTTCCTTGGTAACCATGGCAACAGTGTTGACTAGGGCCCAGTCCCATCCGGTCCTGGATCTGCTCTGTTCTTGCTAAGAAGTGGTGTGTCACGCTGGAGTTGTACTCCAGGGCGCCTTTCCACTTACTGGAAGAAACTTTTGCCATGGGGAATGGGGAGCACAGAGCCTTGTCCTCTTTCTGTGACTGATTGCCACAGTTCCTGTGAAGTTGTGGGTCAGGGAGATGGTGGGATGTAGTGGGGACTGAAGAGGGGAGACTGGAATCTAGCTGCTTGTCCCTGCCCTGAACCAGCACCGTGACACTCTAATGATTGACGGAGTAAATATGTTTTGCAGAAAAACCTCCGAATGCAGCCTCCCTGGACACAGCCCAGGACCTGATCCAGTGTGCCGTGGTCAAGGGGTACCTGGACCCCAACTACCTGCTGGTGGGCCACAGTGATGTGGCTAACCTTCTGTCCCCTGGGCAGGCTTTGTACAACATCATCAAAACGTGGCCTCACTTCAAACACTGAGGGGGGCCCGCTCCTGAGGCTGCTCTCCCTGCTGTACCTCACTGTTGGCACCTCCACCCCAGGGTCACCATCTGTGTCCCCTCTCCTACAAGCCCCCCTTTCTCAGGCTGAGGTGACCGTGTCCTCATGCCAACGCTCCCCAGCATCCCCCAGGCTCTCAGCTGGGTACCCACAGCCCTCTGAGTCTCAGCCCAGTCCTCTCCCCTGGGCACCACGTGCTGGGCCGGGTGAGATGGTTGCCTGGTTCCCGTCAGACTTCCTTCTTTTGTACGGGTCCCTCTGCCTGGTGTGCCTTGCCCTGTGGCCTTCCTGGAAGCCCCCTGCCCTCATCCGTCACCCGGGCCAGGCTGCCCACTTCTCCTCTCTGCTCACACATCAACTTGTGCAGATTTGGATGCAGTCTTTATTTCATAACTATATTTTTATAGTTATGTCTGATTCTTTTCTTCTGGGTCTGAGTTTCTTAGGGGAGAAGCTGAGTCCTGCTGACCCCTGTGTCCTCTGTTCCTGAGCAGTGTCTGTTTAATAGGAGTTTTAGATGTTTGCTGAAGAGACAGTGAATAGGCCAATGACCCTAGTTCCTGCTCACCTGGCCAGTTCCCCCCCTCAGCCCTCTCTGGGGAGCCCTCCTGGACGCGCCCTGTCCCATCAACACTCTCTCTGTCCTGTTCCCTCCCACTCTGGAGCTCAGAGCTGTTTCTGGTGGCTTGTCTGAAATGGGTGCTGTGTCTCTAGGGTCCTATGTCCCTGTCCCCCTAGAGAACCCTGAGGATGGACTGGGTGCTCCTCCAGGGTCAGTACAAGCTGCCCAGTGCCTGCCCATGCCTGGTTGGACCCTGCTAGGTGCCTGGCTGGCCAAGGACCAGGAGCCATGGTGCTCTGCACCCCTCCCTGCCCGGGCTCCTCCTGCCTCAGGGAAGAGCCAGACAACCCACTGCTTCCGTGGAAGCACACAAGAGCTTGCTTCACTGGGCCTGATCCAAAAACCAGGGAAGAGGGGAGGAGGAAGACGGGGTGGAGTAAGGGGGAAGTGCCAGAAATGTGCCCCCCCATACCTTCCTCTGGTATTTACACTGTGTTTTGCTTTTAGAGGGTTTTCGAATCTTTACCACGGGCATGTTTTAACAGCCTACATCTCCACAGCTCTGTGCTTCTCAAAGACTCCCCCAGTCTTACCGGATTATCTCTGCCCATTAGTTATTTCTCCTCAGGCACCGGGGTGGGTAACCAGGGGAAGGAATGGTTTGTCTAGAGGGTGGCCCAGGACACTGTCACTCCTGATTTGCATGAGCAGATAAGTCTCTTTGTCTGCCCAGGGCTTCCTGTGGGTGTGGGGCTGGGTGCAGACTTTCCTGGGGAGCCCTACCCCCCAAGGGTGAGTTAACCCCTCCTCCTGCAGGAAGCAGCCAGGGGTAGACTGAGCTCCTGAGAAATGGTCTCATCAAAGAGCTATTTGCTGTGGTTTGAAAGTGTTTCTCAAAGCTCATGTGTTGGAAATTAAGTCCCTCATTGGCGACAAGTGTTGAGAGATGGAACTTCAACAAGGTGATTAATGCATTGATCATTACGAGCTGGGTTTGTTATAAAAGTAGACTCAGCTCTCTCACAGAGTGTGCACGCRCATGCTCCCTGGCTCTTCTCCATTCTGCCACGGAATGACGCAGCAAAAAGGCCTCCTCAAACGTGGGCCTCTGGACTCTGGACTTCCCAGCCTCCAGACTGTAAAAAATAAATGTCTTTTTAAAAAATACAAACGATGCAGTCTCAGTCATTCTCTTCTAGCAGTATAAAACAGATGAAGGCACTTTCCATTTCTGGGCCTTCCTTACAATCCTCCAAAGTAGAATTAAACCCTATTTCCAGGTCTCCAGGGCTTGTTGGCTTATCCCCACAGACTCTGCCCGGGGCCGTTCTGGAGAGGGATTTGTAGACTCCCCCGTCTCTGTCAGCATCCTCCAGCCTCCTCCAAACCGCAGTGTTAAATGAGATTGACCAAATTATGCTCTGTGTGAGCACAAAGATGGCATAATGGATCCCACCATTAAGTATAACTGTAAGGCACCAATAAAAAAATTAGAAATACCCCACAGTATTGCATGGTCTGGATTATTCCTTTCTCCAATTATCTACTTTTATTGATCTTAAATATACAATCCGAGTGAAATCAGAGCCCTCAGCTGGCAGAAGTTTTCTCCAGGCAGATTCTGAGGTAGCCTGTTGTGTGCAGTTAGAGTCTTTGTGATATATATATATATATATATATATTTTTTTTTTGTATCTGGGGTTGAACCATATCCCTGATCCACATCCCCAGCCCTTTTAATATTTTAATTAGAGACAGGTCTCTCCAAGTTGCATGAGGCTTTGCTAAGTTGCTAGGTTGCTGAGGCTGGCGTTGAATTYGTGATCCTCCTGCCTCAGCCTCCTGAGCCGCTGGGATGACAGGATGACAGGTGTCCTCTCTGGGCTCTTTGACAGAGAAATTCTTCCTCTCTCCCCTCTGATCACTTAAAGKGGGGATTATACTAACAGCCTCCTCAAATGATGGCAGTGATGTTTAAATCTCTGGGGTTTACGAATTATCTATCCAATGGAGGGATCTTAGAACCATACCCAGCATACAACCACGTTCCATTAAAATTAGTTGCGGGTCATGATGATTGTCACTAGTAGGGTGACTGTCACCATTATAGACTGTGCTGTCTATTGGTCCTGTTTGACTCTGGCAGGAAGGATGCGCTTTTGTGAGCACTGCCCTCAGCCCCCTGGGGGAGTTTGTGCAGCCTGAGCCCAAACCYTGTGACAGCTGGGAGGGGCCTGGCACACCAGCAGGCCCTCAGATCTGAAGAAGCCAGGTGGGGARTGGGAGGTCGTACCTCCTTCCCAGCCCCCTGGGTGTCAGGTTGGGAGGGACTCCRGAGCTCACCCACTCAGCTGTTTTCCATAATTTCAAGTTGGGGGGAGGGAAACTCTCCGGACATTTCTCGGGTTTCAGAATTGTGAATACTAGGTTGATCAAAGCCCCCTATTTAATTGAAGATTGAACCCAGAGCRGGAAGAGGATCTGTTCAAGTTGGTAAAGGACGGGCACTCGGGTTCGAGCTAAGGCACGGTTCCTGCCACCCTCCGACAGACATCATGTTATGCCTCCTCTTTCCAACAGAGTCAACGGGGCTCCTGCCATCGAATTCCCCTCTACTCCCCGTCTACTCTTTCCCCCAGAACCTGTGGGATTACTCCGAGCCTCATCCTTTGGGCTTCCCATCCTGATGCTTTCTCTCCTGCCACCCCACCCCACATTTTGACGTCTCCAATTCCACCTGCTCTTTAAAGTGCTTTCTGAAGGCTCTTCCAGAAGGCTCCTGGCTTCGCCACATCAGAAATGACATCTCTTTCCCCAAGTGCCCATGGCTTCTCTAGGCTTACCCCTGACCCCTCACTTGCCCCTTTTTCCTGACCCTGGCCTCCCCGGGGCCTGGGCCTGKGCCTGCTCCTCCCTAGATCCATCTTCAGGGCCTCCTGCAGGGCCCGGCACATTACTGGGGCCACCTGAGTGTCTGGAATGAAAGGCAGGGTGAGGTCCCCAGGGGCGGGCGGCAGCTCTTCTTTCAACTGGTCTTGGATGCTTGAGGCAGAGTGGAAAATTCCTGTCTCCACTGCCCTGACTGGTTACATTTCTCACCGGCTAATTCCTTCTCAGTTCCAGGCCATGACTCATCCCCACCCTCGGGTGACTCCCCCACCAGTGTGAGACATGAGGGAAGACATGTTCTCCAGCACCAAGATGCCCCCCGCCTGGGGCTTCTGTGACTTTCTCACTGTGGTGACCACAGCCCCGCTGTCCTGTGCTGCCTCCCTCCCAGTGGCCCACTCAGGAAGATTCTTCCTGGGGTTCTGGCTCATACCGGCCCACGCTTCCTGGGCTCTTTCTGTATCCTTCTGTCCTGCTCTGTTCCCACCTTTGTCCTTTCTCTAGAATATGCTAGTGTGAAAAAAATAGTGGGAGAGGGGTGGCGGTGCTAACCAAGCCTCAGTCCTGCGGAAGCACCTCAAAATCACCTCTTCAAGAATTAAAGTCCCGGGCTGGGGATGTGGCTCAAGCGGTAGCGCGCTCGCCTGGCATGCGTGCGGCCCGGGTTCGATCCTCAGCACCACATACAAACAAAGATGTTGTGTCCGCCGAGAACTAAAAATAAATAAATAAGTATTTTTTTAAAAAAAAAGAATTAAAAAGAATTAAAGTCCCCTTCACACAAAAACTTGTATGTAGCAGCTTCAGTCATGATGATAAAAGAGCAGAGCCGACTCGGGCGTCCATCCACGATGTGTGGATAAACATCTAGACAGTGGGCATCATTCAGCCACAGAAAGGAGTGGAGTTTTGACACAAGCTACACGCGGATGACCCTTGAAAACACTACGCTAAGTGAAAGCAGACAGTGGCAAAAGGCCACACATCCATGATCCCATTTGTACAGAATGCGCAGAACAGAGAAAGTCACTGAGAGTTATTCTACAGGGGCTGGGGGTGGGCAGGGAGGGAGAAATGGGAGCGATTGCTAATGGGTTTGGATTTCTTTGGGGGATGAGGCAAACATTCTGAAATTAGGTAGTGGAGTTCAACACACCACGTGAGTATACAAAAACCAGTGAATTACATATTGTATCAAAAAGGTAGGCTTTGTGATAGCCGTTTCATCTCAATAAAGTTATTATTAAGAAAAACCACCTCTTCACCCTGCCCGAGGGCCACGGGGTGCCAGGGGTGGGAGGAGATGGGCAAGAGGCCAGGAGCAGGGTGGTTCTGGGGAAGGTGCACATTTTCCAAAAGTTTAGAGACGGGGCAGGATGACAGGAGTTTCTGGYGCAGCAGGTTCTGCAGGCAGGGGGTGGAGGGAAGGGCCCTAATTAGAGGGAGCTCTGAGAGAGGGAAGGTGTAATTAGGTAGAAGGCGTGGTGGGCGGGGTGGGGCTCCTGGGAGGGATGGCAGTGACCTCTTAGGGAACTTTCCACAGTGGGCTGGTGTAAGA